AAATCAGGCAAAAGAAAATTACCCATCTTCTATAAATGTGGAAACGTAGGACATTATAAAAATAATTGTAAAGTAAAACAAAAATTGAATAACATAATCTTAGATGAGAAAATAAGAAACCAAATATATGAAATAATTTCATTAGACATTTCTGATACTAGTAGTAGTCATTCTGATAGTGATACATCTAATTCAAGTTCTGATTTCATAGGGTATATAAGTGATGATCACATAATCATAACAACAAGTTCAGAAGAAGATAACAGTTGTTCTTGTAATGTTTTAACCAATGAAGATAATCTAATATTAGACTTAATAGAGAAAATTACAAACCCAGATGAAAAAAGGGAAATCATTACTCAATTCATTAATATAACTAAATCAAAGAATACGTCCACTAGTCTTCTTAGAAGCCCTAATGAATATAATTTCTCTGACATAGTAAAAAGACTAAGTACAAGAGATATGAATAATAGAGAACCTACTATTACGGAATTAAGGAAAGAACTAAATGATGTAAAAACCGAAATAAGAGATTTAACAAATAGAATTCAAATACTAGAATTACATCAAGAAATATACAAAGAAGAAAAGAATTCTAAAGAATTAGAATTTGACCAATTAATGATTGAAGAAATTCCTGTTACATCATTTAGGTGGAAATCCCACCATCCTTTTAACCATTCAGAGAATCCACTAATAATGGCTTTTGCTATTTCCTGGTCATGGCTTCCAGCCATTTTGCATGCGGAGGCATACATAGTCATATGTCTCATAGTATCTATTACTTGGTATTCTGACATTCCGTCAATATTCCAATTTACAATCGTCCGTCTTGAATAGGAAGTAGTAGGTGATATAAGATCTTCTTCAAATTGTATATCTACAGGAGTTGGCCTAACGTGGTACATCCTTGATTGGGCAACTGGTCTCCATTTTTATCCATACGATATTTTATTTATTTTATCTTTATGATCTATAGGTAGGGCTTCGGAAAAGGCTAATTCCCTATTTTCTAAACTATCTATTATTTCTGGTAATTCCTGGAGGGTTTGGATGTTTGCTTCCTGTATTACAATTTTGTTAGGAGAGGGTACTTTTGGAATTTCAGATGTTTGGAGTTCAGCTACCTTCTTTTTCCCTTTGTCTAACGATCCTACTTGAACCCTTTGAGTTTTGATGTCTGAAGCAGCTAATTTTGAGATCAATTGGTCCATTAGACTTTTATTATCTTCTCGTATATGAAATTTGTCTTTATTCATTTCAGGAGGTGGTTTAAATAATATAGATTTTTTTCTATTATTTTCTCAGTAGTGGGCTTAAGGTAATTTTCTATTCTAATGGTTTGTCTACCTATTGTTTTGATATACATATTAGTATAATTATTCTGTTCGATTATATGTAGTAACAAATCTAACCTATTGGTTAGTTCTTTGTTAGACATCTTATAGGGTGTAGCTAGAGTTTCTGTTTTAATTATTTCTTCTTCATCCTTCCCTTGCCCTTGTCCTCTAATAATTATACTTTGTTCGGGAGGATGAATACTAGTAATATTATTACCATCAGGTAAATCATATTTTTGATATAAATCATTTTTAACCATGTTGATTTCTAGGTGTGGTATTGTCATTTTTTTATGCTTTAACAATTCTTTTAACCAAAGAAAGAAACTGATATTTTGTTTTTCTTGTTTGATAAACCTAACATATTTTATATGAATTAATTGTATTAATCTTTTGCTAAATCTTTGTAAATACCAATTTCTTAATTGTTCGTTTTCTTTGGCTAAATAGTCTCTTCTTATTGCATTACTATCTATTTTTGGATTGTCACTTATGGTTAATACCTGAAATTCAACTTCACTGTCTGAACATTCTTGGTTACTAGATGCTGGTTTATATTGAGGTATTTGGATGTTATCTCCAGTTCTTGTTACTCCACTTATTTTAGATTCTGATTTTCTGGAATATTTTTTTGAAGGTTTTATATATGTATCGTCTTTTATTGCCGTTTTAAATTTTATTTCGACTTCTCCATCCATATATTCAGTAATATGAGTTGGAGTTTGATTAGTAACTGGGGTTTTATCACTATTTTCAGTATTTTGTATAGTCCATGTTAGATGTAATTTGATATGGGACCATTGTGTCATCCTGGGTATTATAATATTTGTTTTTTCCATATTTGTTTGAAATAAGGTTGTATATCCTTTTGTATCTGTTTGGATAGCATTTGGACATAATGTGGTCATAACTTTATAATATAGCCTATATACTATTGCTATATTTTGTGAACCTAAATCCATATTGAATCCTTGTGGTTTTAGATTTAAGGTTAAAACTTTAAGTATATGGGGGTCTGTTAGAGATATCGAATAATTTGGGAAACAATTGAAATAGATAGGTCCATTGCAAAAACTAGATTCTATACAAATCGAATTGAAGCGTGTGTACATAAAAAATAGGTGATCTTCAAAAAATATAAAAAAATTATTTTACATGAAAAAATTGACCAAAATACCCCTGTAAAGTTTTGCGGGTATTTTGGTCAATTTTTTTTGCAGATTATTTTTGATAGATTTTTATTAGGTGCGTTTTGATGGGAAGAATATACACCTAAAATTTTAAGTTATTTGGATTTATAGAAAAAAAAATTAAAATTAAAATACAAAAAGTGGTCGTGATCGTCAGATCGGCCTTGATTCATTCTGAGCCATTGACGTTTACTGTAGTGGTTGGTCAGCTAGTGGGCGTACAGAATCCACTCCCTATATATATATATATATATATATATAGACAGAGAAAGAGATAGAGAGATTTGAGATTGTCTACAAAAAGACCATTTATCTTTTTGTACATGGAGGTCACAATCATTCTCACTCATTAGATGTCAAATTCGATGGCTTGGGGTGAGTCACGAAGTCTGAGAATTTTTGTTTTGGAACTTTGTGTCTATTCAATGACACTTTTACAACCTCCCATTTTAAAATTTAAGGGACAAGAATGATTGTGATCTCCACGTACAAAAAATAAATGGTCTCTTTGTAGACAATCCCTATATATATTGTGGTGAACCCACCTTATCCTGATTTGTATATTTAGTTTAATGGAAAATAAATTGCACCCCATATATCCAGTATCCATTGCCAAATTTCTTATCCAAAAGATTTGTTCTCTCTGTTTTCAGGATGCAAAATTTTGTGGATTAGATCCCTCAAGTAATAACAAATTTAACACACCAACATCCTTATTTGGGAGAAGAGCGATGTCCCCAATTTTCTTTTAGATAATAAAAGAACAAATTGTCAATCTTAATTTTTCCTCAAAAAATCTCATTATTTCCACGGAGAGAGAGAGAGAGGGAGGAGAGAGAGAGAGAGGGAAGGGGCTTCTTGGTTACTTGTCATGAATTAATAAATCTCAACCCTTTCCTTTTCAGATTTTATTGATATACATTAAACAAAGAGGGGCTTGAAATTAGAAATGAGGTATTACTGTTTTAAAAAAGATCCCAATTTTGGTGAGCGGAACAAGTGCCATGCCTCAAAAAAGTTGTTTGGGTCCTCATTAAAGAAGGCTAAATCTTGAGGGTTTTTACTCACCCCGAGAACCAGTAAAGTGGTTGGTTAGTAGGCATTATGGGTGTGGTTACTAAGACAAGGGTGTATAATCTAGCCTTTAACATAGTATGTGCCTTATTTTTGGTATATATATGTATCACTGTATGGGATGCATATCTTCATGTGTCATACGAACTGTAATATATATTAAAATGCTGCCTTGCAACTTGTGGGCATGGAGAGTGTGAGCGAGTGAGATGTAAAAAGTTTTTTTTTTTTTTTTGATGAAAGTTAAGTAATAGTAAAGTTTTTTGAAAGAGTGCAAGCATATGTTGGGGAAAAGTATTTTTGGAAAAGTACATGCTCTAATGTGATTTGTGGAGAAAACAGGGAATAATGTCTCATGTATTGATTACCTTATGAAGTGATCTTATATTCCTGCTAAAAAACCTTGAGAAGTTCAGAAATTACAACAGTACATTTTGACTTAAATACTTTAGAAAGAGTAAGAATATTATTGGAAAACAATTTTCTGACATGCCCTTATTTTAAGAAATTGTCTTACTTTCGGTGAGGTTATAACAAAAGCTCTAAATCGCCGTGCAATCGTGGAACCTACATGAAATAACAAAGTTAAACAGAGGCTTTTCAGGAACAAAATCTAACATGTGCTCTCCAATTCATGCTTGATAATATAGTATAGATTTATAGTTGTGTCGTATAGGACTGATTTATAGTTGTCTGATAAGATACTCGTATCCTTATCCATTCCGCTATTGGGGATTGTAGTTTTAATGTATCGATACGCGCCTACATGATCAAATTTGTCAATAAGATTAGAGTCACAATGAAGCAATGGAGACCTTTAGGAACTATTGTATTGATATTCAATTGTTTCAATTTGTGTTTTATGAATTAATTTCTGAGCATGTGTGTGTATGTCTTCGCTCACAAATGTGCATAATGGATATATCCATGCAAGCATGCATGGCATTGACTGTATACATTGTACTATGTTATAACATCCAGTTTTCTACTTTTCTGGCTTTAGCTACATCAGATGGCTTGGCATGACATTATTTCTGTGATGTTTAAAGTTCAGCATCAATGTTTTCTTATTTTCCTTACTTAATGTGTTTTGGGCAGATCTAATAATTCATTGTCTGACTCGGCACTTGCGCGCATGATAATTCCCCACTGGAATGAAGGTACGAGACCTGGTTTTTGACACATTGTTTGTTATTGCACACTTTTTGAAGTTCGTATTCTTCTATATATAAAACATGAGCAGGTTTGTGACTAGGTGTCAATCAAGAAATTCATTTTAGGTTTGGAGTTTGGTTAGGATGGAGAATAAAGAGAACTAAGTTAGGTTCGGATGGGAAGAATTAGCATGAGAAAGGGAAGTGTGACCACATGTCCATCAATCAATAACATACAACATAGGTTCATTACATAGGTCCATTCATTATTGCATATAAATTGAACTAATGCTAACACAATAACATAGAAGTTGATCTTATGTGCCCAAGAGTGTATGATCTCTTACCACAAACTTTTACTAAAAACTCAGAATTAACTAATTTTTTTTAAATACATTTTTAAAAATAGATCCCCATATTAGAAAATATATTTTTACATCTTCCACCTTCCACGTGCTGGGAGAGTGGTGTACAAGCATCAAATGAACTTGAAAAAGTTAATTTTAATTTTTCCAAAATAACCAATACCTCTATTGTAAAATACAATACTCTCTTTATTTTTAATAATATAATAATACACAAGTATATAGTATTTTCTTTAATTTTTGATTCTATTGTTATTATCAAATTGATTCATTATTTATTTTTATATAATAATGAAAATTGTGAATATAACTTGCAATTACAAATTTTATGCAATAAAATTCAGACACGTTATATTTATTATACTTTTAAAATTCAAAATTTTACTTAAAAGCTAAAATAATTAAAATTTATAATTTGATATGAAAAGTTATATATTTTCACTTTGATAAAATATTTAACAAATTTAAAATGAAACAATATATTTGATTTAAAAAAATTATGCACTCATGTTATGAATTTTACATTCATGTTGTTTCCAACTCTTTGATTCCAATGGATAAATTGTTCACACTAGTGTGGTTCAAATTTGTGGCATACTACATAGGTTCATTATTGCATACAATATACAAAAGCCATAAGTGAGAAAATACTAACAACACAACACAAGGTTGTATGATCTTTCACGACAAACTTTTGCTAACAACTAATAATTTACATTTTTTCTTTTTAAAATACGTTTTTAAAGGTAGATCCCCATGTTTAGCATGCATATAATACCATAAATAAATGTTTTACTTGACGGATAAAGTATACAATGTAATCTTATGGGTGCACTTTAGACAATATACTTTTACACCTTCTATCTTCCACGGGTTGGGGGAGTGGTGTACATTAATAAATGATCTACAAAGGTTAATTTTCATTCTTCCAAAATAGCCAATACCTTCATTGTAAAAAGCATTACTCTCATTTTTTTATTAATATACTAGTATTTTTTTTTAATTTCGCATTCTGTTGTTAGAATCAAATTTATTTATTATTATTTTTTATATAATAATTAAACTCATGAATATAACATGTAAATACAAATATTATTCAATAAAATTAAGACCGCCGTTATATCTATTAAACTTATGAAATTCAAGATTTTACTAAAAAAGCCAAAATAAATTGAATTTTATAATTTTGGTATTGGAAATTATACTCTCCCTTTGCTAAAACATTTCCGTAATTTAAAGTAAAACATATTTGGTTTAAAATGTTATACACTTATGTTACAAATTTTACATTCATGTTGTTTCCCACTAATTTATTCAAAAGCTATTAACTTTATATAAAAGTTATTTTTAAATATTTATTTCAGAAACTATACATTTTTTTTTATAAAAGTAATATCAAAACTTAAAAATATTAAAAGTATTTAATAAATGATTCTAAAATTCTCACTCATGTTACAAATTTTACGTTCATGTTGTTTCCCACTAATTCATTGAAAAGCTATTAACTTTATATAAAAGTTATTTTTAAATATTTATTTCAGAAACTATACATTTTCTTTATAAAAGTATTATCAAAACTTAAAAATATTAAAAGTATTTAATAAATGATTCTAAAATTCTCACTATAAATTAAACTTTATTATTATAATTTGAAATTAGAATTTCTTATTATAAATATAAAATAAAATTTATAAATTTAAATATATATAGAATTATAATTGATAAATATGATTTATAAATTTAAATATTAGTAGAATTATAATTGATAAATATGATTTATAAATTTAAATATTAATAGAATTATAATTGATAAATATGATTTATAAATTTAAATGTAAATAGAATTATAATTGATAAATATCACAATTAATAAAATTAGATTTGAATCATAAATATTAAATCATACATAAAAATGTTCTTCTTACTTAAAAAGTGTACATGAGGTTACTCAACATCTTCATTTATTTACTGGAACACTTTGTTGATCAAATTGTTAGGTAAATTTTTTAATCTTAGTTACCTATTTTAAATAAGTACAATATCAAGATTAAAAAAAAATATGAAGGTAGAATGCTATGAAATGCTACTAAGGAAGAAAACAAATTTCTTGAATAACAAGATTAAAATCATGATTTTTTTATACTAGATCTAAATAAATTTTACATTCATGGCATTTTTCCAAAATAAATTCGTCGCAATTTTAGTGATTAGCATGAAATAGTGCCACAATGGAATCCATATACAAGTACATATTTGTAACTTATAACTAATAACCTACAAATATTTAAATCATTTTTATAAGTTATAAAAGTTATAATAAATTATAAATTTTAATTAGTACAAACTCTTAAAAATTAATTAATAAATCTAATGGACTTAAAAAATATATCATTAATTATATATAGACCTACAATATAGTCTAGCAAGACCACAATAAAAAACTTCTATTTTATTCTATTGTGCAAGCGACAAAATATAGTGCCATCACAAAAATGGCATGTTATATTGTTCTAATCAGTTGTTTAGTTAAATATTAATATTTATTAAATGTCAATTTTATGTTTTAATCAATTATTTATTCCTATATAAGTATAATATCAACTTATTAGTCAAATTATAAAGTTACTTAGTTACATTTGTTCTGACGCAATTTAAGTTATATAGATTGTTCTTACATGTTCTTATAGTAGAAAACCTTTACTATTACTTTTCCCTAGGTATCTCTAGAGCCACTTATGGTTGACACCTAAACTCATCACACAAATTGAGCTGGCAACATAATAAATCAGCACCATAAACACAACACTCTTAAAGTGTAGAATTAAGGTGCACTTAAAAAATCTATCATAAAAGATATTTTGAAGTTGGAAAACCCTCTAATTGATTATCTCCACATCGAGATGTATGAATATTAAAAAAAAAAAGAATTTGAGTCCCAAAAATAGTGCATCTTGCAACATATTCGCTGGACCGTCCATTTTCAATATTTTCATGTGTTCATAGATCTACTTGATTTGAACCATTGTTTTAGTATAAAATTTTATAATTCGAAATTACATCTTATGATAAAATTTGATGGTGCACCTCACTTTGATGATTTAAGGTTGCACCCTTATGTAAACCACACCCTTAATTAAAATCTTCTAATTTTTTTAAGAGAAAGCAAATCACGTGCGGAGCACGTGGATTCCGCTAGTATATTGATAATGTGTCATGATTTGGATTTCCTCTAATTATAAACACACAAATGACTGTAAACTATTGAAATTGATTGACTACTTAGGTTCTATTTTCTAATGGGCAACCATGAAACAACTCATCACCAAGTAATCCCGACAAAAGACCGTAGTTTATCTTGCAAATAAATCTCATGGGTACTTGAATGTGTTTATTTGTAGGTTCAAGTGGCTTATATTCCTCATAGATAGTTGTTGTGGCTTTTTTGGGTTCTATGAGAGTTGTCAAGCCCATTGCTGTACTGGAAGTTTGTCAATTGTATCTTATGGAATGACCGCTACCGGGTCAAACTAGCAACAATGGTCACATAAGTACTATGAGAACTTACATTCATAAGTCATCTTCAAACGAAGAATGGTGGTCGGCCCCAACCACGGTTTACTAGAACCTGTATACCCTGGTATACACAAAAAGACCATGGTCCCTTACCTTTTGTTTACCTAGTGACAGAGTTCATTGACTATTGTCAGAGTTATTTGGACACTTGATTGGTACACTTAACTTGGATGCCATGGTTTTGAACCAAACCTAGCTACCAGTTACCAAAATGAAAAGAGAAATTGCTGTCTTGAAGTTTTCATATGTGGAATATTTAAAATGACTTTTTTGTTCACTAGTTTTCAGGTATTCATTGTATTACTTTTCTGAAGGGAATGCGCTAGGATTTTCTAGCATGGGTTATCTTTAGGGATGATGGTCTTAAATCATACATTGAATGTGCTCCAAGTTAGATGTGTATGTATAGAATGTTTCACCAGCCTGGGATTAGACAAGGTTCTGCAAACTCCTGAATTGAGTAAATGTGGGAAGGCATTACTTGACATTTTTGTAATTTATCCAAAACATGGTTATTTGTGAAGTATAACTTAGAACAAAAATAGTATGTTAGCTGCTCTATATTACATTATATGTAGCATTGTAGCTATATGCAATGATAATTATATATTCTTTATTTTTCTTATGTACTTAGTTTTAGAAAAAAGTTTGTATAAGATTGCAACCTTAAATTGTAGAATTAAGGTGCACCCAAAAATACATCGAAAAAGGTTGTTTTGTCATAGGGAAGCCATTTCATTCGTCATCTCGAAGTCAAGATGTATGGATGTGGCAAAAAAAAAAATTTCAAGTCCCAAAAATAGTACATCTTGCAACACATTATTTGGACCGTCCATTTTCAACATTTTCATGTGTTTATAGATCTGCTTGATTTGTACCACTATTGGAGATTAAAATTTTATAATTAGAGATAAAAACAATATCTTGGGTCATCCTAAGAATTTTCGATGCCAAAATTATATCTTATTACAAACTTGGAGGTGCATCTTACTTTGATTGTTTAAGTTTGCAACCTTATGCAAACCACACCCTTATTTTTAAGTATATAATATTAATAGTTAGGTTTCT